CAAAGGTGTTAATATTTCTTCGTTCAGTGAATAAAACTCTGAGTCCAGTAGTTCGTTCCAAGCATTTATATTGGTCACATTTCCATATTGACTTTTCTTCGGTTCCAAATTTTTCAAAAGTATACATAGGTATAGCCGTTATAAATTAATTTATCTTTGCCTTTTTCACTCTTATTTATATATGTGTATATATATGTATATGTATATATATATGTTCATTAAGAGTGAACTCCATTATTATAAAATAAAAAAACAGTAAACACACACAATATCGTACTAGCATGGACTAACAAATGCAAGTATGTAATGACAAATTGGTACGACCATCGGAATATAGATGACGATAAGTCGATAACGATCGTATAAGCTTATCTAAGTTATTGCCACGCTAGTTCAATTATCTCGTGTGTACATCATATAATAGTACCTATATAAAATTATTACATCTGTTAATCTGCACATTGTAAATTGGATATAATTATATATTWTATTATATAATTATAATTGGATGTAATTACTATAATAAATAAAAATTATTCATTTGACGATCAATCATCTTAGCGACCAATTATATTCACGATAAATTCACCCGCGATCAATTCACCGGCGATCAAATGTTCGCGACCAATTCACCGCGATCCCTTGATGATATAGATAACCATAACATAATAAACTAATAGACAAATTATAATGCGCAACATGCGGTTCATCTGAAAATTATGAACTGTGGTAGTTCAGGGAAGTATATTATGAACTATAATATGGATTTAAACGATATGAATAATTTCTCGTGAACATTTTGTAAAAATTGTGCACCGCTTTTGTTTCGGCTTTGAAAAAATTGATAAGCTATATTAAAATGTAACTCTTAAAACTCATTTTTAATTTAACACTAAAAAAAATAGACGTTTGAAAAATAAACATAATAGAARATAATGTATGATACACTAACTGATATCAAATTGTAAAATATTCAAAACCCAGGATCATTATAAATTATAATATTACCTATATGATGGCATACAATAGCTAAGTTAATTTAAATTAGTGAACGCATCAATAAAATGGTTGATAAATCTGTAAAAAGTAAAAAATAAAATAAAATTTTGTTGAAGAATAAATAGTTTTGCTTTTGCAAATAATTATGTTTTAGTTTAAAATACACTTATATATACAAAATGTTCCATGGAGGTCTGACATTCTGACAAATGAAATAATTTTTGTTCTGATCAATATTTTTAAAAACAATTTAAAATATAATACATAGACACTTGCGCTACATTTTTTATTTTTTAATACAGAAAAGTTAAAAATTCCCAAAAAAATTCAATTGAGCCAATTTGTAAATCTTAATTTGAGAAAAATTTAAATGGTAAAAAAATTAATTTAAGTAAAATGGATGATTTTTGCAATTTTTTAAATATAAATATTCTCGTTATAAGTAATTGGCAATCGTAATGTAAGAACATGCAAATTTTAAAAAATATAAAAAAATTTTTAAAAATGTTATATGATTATGATTATATTTTTAAATACCATATAAACCTAGGTAAAATGATATTTTTTGAAATTTTAGTGTTTCTAACATAAACTAGATTGTAATTTACTTAACTAGAATATTGATATATGAAAAAATTGTAAAAATCACACATTTGACTTATATAAATTTTTTTACCATATAAATTTTTCTCAAAATAACATTTACAATTTGGCTATATTGAATATTTTAGAATTTTTTTTGTTAATTTTTTATTTTAAGTGTTAAAAAATAAAAAATAAAAAAATGTAGCGCAATTAGTGTCTATGAATTATATATAAAAAAAATTGTTTTTAAATATTGATAAGTACAAAAGTTATTTCATTTGACAGAATATCAGATCTCCGTGAGACACCTTGTATATATATATATTCTTCAACACTTACCAGAACAATCATTAATTTATCATCATTATTATTATTTTTATTTTTATTTTTATTTTATTCTTTGAAGCACAAAATGTATTATAATTGTTTGAAAATAAAAAAATAAGGTATATAATCAATGAGAACATTAAATGAAGCGGAAAAATATTTTTCAACAAGATTGATGATTGTGATTTAGTTAAACAACGAAAAAGTTTATTTTTTCTGCATGCACAGCCAAACCCTGTCCGTCGCGTCGACCAGAAACAACCTAAGTAAGTACTATGTATTAATTTAATAATTTATAAAATCAAAATGTGTTTTTTTTTTTGTAATTCTAAAAGTATTTCATAGTCACACCAATATAATATTAATAAAGGCGAACCGTATTAAGTATTTAAATTACAACACTATTCAAAAAGTTTTGTTTTCGGAAAATACTTTGTTTCTAACTTGTACCTACCTACGTATTTGTTTATAAACAGATTTCGAAGATTAATTAATAAATATTTCAACAAAACTTTACATATTTATATTATACATTTATAATTATAATTTTATTACCATGTAATGTCTTATGAATTTTTTTTTATAACTACTTAGACGAAAATTTTGAATAAATTACTCAGATATCTATTTAATATTTATTGAATTAGATATCAAAATGTATAAATCACTGGCTGTACACCTTAGTTATCTGACTATATACTAACCAAGCATTGGTATTCTTAAATTACTTTAAAATAGTCTTTTTCTTCTGAAATCAAAAACCCATAAGTACCAACCGCTGTCAATTAAAAACRAATTGCAACTTTCAACTGTTTTCTAACGATGATTCTATTATTTATTATCTTGTAAATAAATTCTTTTAAGTATTTTTTTGTAAAAAATTTATTTTTTAAAACGTTGGCTTTACCACTAATTTAATTGGATTTTTTTTTACTAGTTAAAATGATTATATTAT